TCGAGAGTAACTTTTTATGTGAAGAAGTCGTGCTCTTAAGCGTTACAAATTTGAAACCAAACCTAGTCTTTGCCAGACTGACTTGTCCCCTCTTTGGGTGTTCCCTGTCGTCTGGCCGTGGCTGAACCCCCCATTACTTGTGTTGCTTCTTGCATTTGCTCCCTCCCTCATTTACACTTGCACTGTCTTTTTTTTGCTGCTGGGTATTTGACCCAGCTGCCCTTCGAGCCGTTTTGTTTGTGGTGTAGGATTCTTCCCTCTCCTGTGCAGTGGTGTGGCTGCTGATGGTTGTGGTACCACTTCCATCGCAGGACTTTGTTCTTTATGCCTCGCCATTGGAAACCTCACATAAATACCCGTCTTTTCCTCCTGCCTATGGCTCTTTTGAATTCTTTTTTCCTGTCAGTTACATTTTTTAATGCAATATTGTAATTACTGCTTGAAGTAAAGAACATTTTAAATTACAGTTTGTGAAATAGGTTTTATAGAAGAAACTTGTATTATCAGTCCTGCTTAGCTACATGCACTCAGTAATCATTCTTTACTGGATGTTCTTCAGTGTGCCACCTCCACAGAGAAGGTCACTTTATATCTAGTGGCTTATTGTTTTCAAATAATATATCTGTGCATAAATTGCTGGGTGAAAGTTTGCCATGGTACCTTTCACTTAGCTGCCGCTGCTGTTTCTCCCTCTGTCCCACCCTGTCCCCCCCATCCCCATCTGTGAGAGATTGCATGGTCTGGTGGAGTTGCCACAGGGTGTCAGTCCAGAAAGGTCAGTCCTCGGCTCTGCTGTTGGATGCCTGTGATGCCAAAGACATATCCTTAATCTTTCCAAATCTATAAAGTAAATAATTTATTACTTACCTTGCATGAGCATTAAGAGGACTTAAAGTACATATGAATATTGCTCTAGGAGTGTATAGTGCTACATGTGAACGCTTGCTGGTAAGTGGATGATTTTGCACTTTCCTGGTGTTTTGAGAAGGTTCCTCCTTTTCAGTTATAACTGGAAAAAACTTGAGTTTAGGCTCTTGGAATCACTTGTAAACCATCTACTAGCTCAACGTAGCTAAACCCGTCATCTCTTCTTCCTTGTGGACAGAAACACTTTCACCTGAAGAAATCTTCTGAAAGATTTAACTCTGGAGTACAAATGGCAGCCCTCTATACTGAAATTAATTTTGGATTTCAAAATTCTTGCCTTTAAGTTACCAGCTACTGCTGGGCCAGCTTCATCCATGATCTGAAGCAAGGGGGAATTTAAAAGGTGGAGCTGGCATGATGTGAAACCATGCTTCCAGTAGTTGCACCTTACTGAACTACTCTGGGGTTTAGGTATCTACGAATGCACAGCACGATAGCTGGATTAGACCTTAATCAAAACCTTAATTAAACCACCAGTGCTTGATGAATCATAAACCTCACTTCTTATGGGTTGATGAGGTGGACGACTCTGGGAAATAACCCCTTTGCCCCTGCTCTCCTCTCTTTGCATCTCTGCAGCGGCACCAGGACAGCGTCTCCCATGAATGTGCTGCTTCTAACGTGTTCTGTCTCGCTGCAAGAGGCTGGATCTCTGTCTGAGAATTTTGAAAGGGATTGAGAAAACAAGGTAGATTGGGTTGTGGGAAAGGATTAAAATCTTCAAATAGCTATGAATGTAAAATGGAGGATGATAAAATGCTGGGTGAATGATGATGCCTTTGGAAGTCAGATTCGTGCCCCTGGTCAAGCTTCTTGGAAAGTGCATTCTGTACAGTACATAGACGTGTATCTCTGAAGGTCGTAGCCTGGGCTAGTAGATAATGCACAGACAGGGAGTCAAGAGACCTATGGTCTTTGCTTCTCTGGCATTGTCTTGTATCATTTGCCTTCCTTATTAAAAAAGTAAGCTTAGGGCAGAAAATTGTGCTGCTTCATATCAGTACAGTGTAATGGGGTCCTGACCTTAGTGGGGGCTCTGGGTGCCACTGCAATACACACAGTAGTAAAAGTGGTGACCTGTTCTATATCCTATTATTCCAGTATCCAGCCTCAGTTATGAGGAACATTTTATTCCAGGAAATGTAGTGGAAGTAACCACTAGAAAATATGGTTATAGTTTATTTTCTTTCCCTTTTAATGCCAGCAGTATATAAACATTGTTTTTCAGAAAGAAAAGGGTGGCCCCTCATGTATAATAGTGCAGAGCTTTCCAAGTGTATTTAAAGACTTTTGTATGAAATGGCAATCTAAGCAGTTTTTATAGACTTCTGTGCTCAGAGGATTTCAGATCTGCCTGCGTGTCCGTAAAGAAGAGAAACAAAACTGAATTCTAAAATAGCATTACTGTCTGGAGGAGCAGAAGTCATCTTCTGCAAGGCCAGTAACAGCTCACAGACCTCCTCCTGCCAGAGCAGACTGCAAGCGGCCATAGTAGATTTAGGCATCTACAAGGAAAATACACCAGAACAGCAGAAAAATTATGGACTTTTGTAGTAATGTTTTGTTGCAAAGCTTTAAGAATCCAAAGCCCAGGAATTTACTGGCGCTGTCAAATTATCAGTTCCTAGGCCCTATAAGCTGAGACAACTTACAAATGGTTGGACTCATGGCCTAAAGGAATCGTTGGCCTTTGCCAAGATAGATAGAAAGAGTTGCATAGAAGATTCAAGTGAATTGGTCACCACAGTGTGTAGGTGTCAGGATGGATAATGAGCCTTTGTTCTCTTTCTAGAACTGCAGTAGCCTACAAAGGGATGAGAAATATCAAACAAAAATAGGCTGACCACACGTTGCCTGTAGTAACAAGCAGCAGCCTGGCAAAATCAAATCGATCTAGTGGGTTAGAGGATGGAGCTGACAGGACATGCTTGATTTTTTTTTTTTTAACATGGCTCACAATTCTTGAGAGTGTTCAGAGGGTACAAAATGGGAGAGGCTGACTGTGCTGTTTGTGGTAGAAAACCATTCTTCAACACCTATTATTTAGGGTCACAGGAGTAACTGCAACTGAAGTGAAATGTAATTTGGAGTACTTCTGATTTTCATGTCAAATGAATAGTTTAAGCCATTTTCAGGGAAAAATTGTACCTTTATCATTTACTTTGTTGTGTGATATTGTCAGGATTGCCGGTATGATGGCATATAGCTCAGTTCTTGGACAGATTTGCTCCAAAATTGTAAGAGGGGTTGTCAAATAAAGATGTTAATATGCAACCAATACGTTATTTTATTTTCATACTCTGGAGTGCTGTTAATGCATTCCAGACGTTCGCACAGAAGTTACCAATGAACTCTAAACTAAATGGGAAAATCAGTGAACGCAGCAGAGCAGCAGAGTTGACAGGGACAAAAAGCTGAAAATTACATGTATGCTTCAAACAGCAAACATTTCTCCTGGTAAATATTGTGTTCTGCTGTGGCAAACTAGATTAACAGCTTAGCCGTAGGAGAAGTGAAATCATACTTTTATCACTGCATGAGGTGAGTTTTCTCGTTTTGCATTTATTGTGTCATTGTTCTATATATAGTCTTCAAGTTCTAACCAGAGGACACAGAGCACTTTATTCAAGATCAGACCCTCATCCCTGGAAGTCCATCAGCTAAAGTCCTGTTTAGGACATGTCGAAAGCCCTATGTTCAGTTACATGATTTGATCGTGGTAACCATTGGGACTCCTCCTTGCAGGCAGAGATCTTTTAAAGCATATACAATTTAACTTGTGGCAAATGGGCAAAAGAATAACCCAGTGCTTGCTGCTGTCTTACTAACATAGGGACTCAATTGAACATTGTCTCCCCAAGCAAATGTCTTCAACAGAAGTGATTCAGCTTTTCCTGAAGGTCAGCAATACAGAGTTGTTAAAAGAGCAAAACATTACAGTCTTCTGATGAGAGCACTCTGTTTTCACCTTTGATTCCATTTTGCTAACGTGTTTAAACTGCAGAGGAAATCTTGGCTGACTCCAACAGGGAAGGCGAAGACCAAGATGAGACTGTGATCTCATGTGACGTGAATTTATTTAACTTCATCAAATGCAACTGTGGTATTTTTAGGAGTAATTAAGTATAACAGGAATATAATAAAGATGGGCTTATTTAGTCTTTAGAATAAGACTCAAATCTTGTGGGGCTTTCTAAACCGAGCTCAGTGGTTGAAGCTATATCTGAAAAAATTCTGTGCAGCAAATAGTGAAGTCGGCAGAGCTAAGGTATATAACGGGGCTGTACGAGGAGTCCCAGCAACAGGGGAGAGGGTGGCGTGCTGCAAGGTCCTCACTTATTGCAGAGGCAAAGAGCCTGGAAGTCAGATCATGACAAGGAAGTAAAAGAAGAAATGCTTTACAAATAATGTTTCTAAATAGGTTTTATTTTTAGATGTGTAGGCTTTACTCTTAAAAAACCCCAGAATTTCAAACAGAAATTGTGTTGTCTTGCCTGGGCCACAGAAGAACTTGTTCATGGAACACTTCAGACGACATGGAGGGTGCTCTTTGCAGTGGATTAGTTCTTGCTGCATGAGTAATTGTAGTCGTCTGTTAACAAAAGCCAGGCCTCCAGTATAGTGAGAAATACAAATGTGTTCTGATTTTAGAAAAAAAAAAGTTTCTGAAAGTAGTATTATGGGATATGTTACTGCAAACTTTTATTATTTCGATGAGTAAGGATTGCACCTCCACTTACGCTATTTCAGATGAAAATTATAACTGCTATTAATTCTCCTGCTTCTGGGTGTATGCTCAGTGCATCAGAAGAGTAAATTCCCTGTTACAGTATAATATGGTAAAATATTAGAGTCGGTTGCATTAGACTGGGATTTTACACCGTGCGACTGCTCTGAATTATCTGTCTTTAGCTGTTATTAAAGCCAGATTTGGTTAGATGGACAATTGTCTATTGCAATTTGACTGCACATATGTCGTTAGGCTTTCAAATGAATATCTAAAGTGGATTATTGCAGGATTTTTCTACAAATTCTCTTTTTATTTCCTCCTTCCTCTCCCTCCATCTTATAAGGAGCTTCCACCCAGAATTCCAATGCTGTGGAACCAGAAAAACAAGTTGACAGCACGGTGAAAATGGCCGGAGTTATAGCTGGTCTTCTGATGTTTGTTATTATCCTCTTGGGAGCAATGCTTACTATCAAGAGAAGGTAAGTTTCTACTTTGCTTACATCTTGGGCCTTCTTCCTAGAGCATGGTTACTTCAAAAAGAATAAATTTGGTAGAGGTAAAACATTGCGTTTGTGTTACAGAGGGCAGCAGTGAATACCTATTTACATAATGCTACTGCTAGGAAATTGTAGACCTAGAAGAGAGGCCTGTTCTGGCAGATATTAGAAGAGCAACAAAAGACCAATCATTACTGCAAAGGTTTAATGTTAATTAATAATTAATGAGAAGGGATAGCTTATTAAAATGCATGGAGAAGCACAAAGCAGTAGAGAGCCCATGGAAGTGGGTGTGTGAGCCTGTGCACACTCTGATAGAAGACAAGGATTCTTTCTTAACAGTCCAGAAAAAGAATATCTTAAAATAATGTGATCAAGGGTCTTGTTCCCACGTGAGTCTTAATGAGACAGATTTTCACACAGCAATTTCTTTGCAGCCAGTGTTCAGCTGGAATATTACATCTTGCTGAGAGTTAGAATCTTTCCAAGAGTTAGCCTTAGTTTACAGGGGAATGAAACTTGGAAAAATCATCTATGGTAATGAAATTTGTTCAAACAGTTCATTTTGTGTGATTTTCTCTGGGCCATTTGCACTTACACTTTGAAGTAGACCATTGTAGTTGCTACTATTTGAAGAGCTCCACATCTACAGTGTAATATAATGATACAGAAAACCACTTAGGCAAGAGGTTGTCTTGAGAACAGGATGTATTTTGTATATATTTTTACCAGTAGCATTTCTGAAGTGAACCCTACTTTTCCACAGTAGTTTCATTCTAAATGAAACGGCAGCTAGGTAGCCAAGCAGGACCCTGGCTAGGGTACAGGTGGTATTACATGTGAGAGCCTCAATGATTTTGTTTGCTCTGTTGCAGGACGTGTAGCTTTCCCAGCAAAGCTCTGTGAGATTTTGTATCTCTAGGACAGTCACGTTTCCCGAAAACAAGAGCAGCAGTTAAATCTAGATATGATCTGCTCTACCTTAATCCAGAGCACACAGGCAAATGGAGTAGCTCTATGCTGCAGGAGCTGGAGTGCAGGGCTGCTGTTCAGAAGGACCTTGAGAGGCTGGAGATGTGGGCTGATGGGAACCTCATGAAGTTTAGCTAAGGCAGAGTCCTGCATCTGGGATAGAGTAATGCCATGCAACAGTACGGGCAGGTTTGCAGGGAAGGACCTGGAGGTCTTGGTGGACAGGTTGAACGCAAGTCAGCAATGTGCCCTTGCAGTGAAGATGGTGAACTGTGTCCTGGGCAGTGTTAGCAAGAGGGTAGGCAGCAGGTCGAGGCAAGTGATTATTCCATTCTGTTTGCCATTGGTGAGACGATTGCTCTGGGCATACTGGGTCCACTTTGGGGATTCTCAGCGCAAGCAAGGCACCGATATATTAGAGGAAGTACAGAGGAGGGTTACCAAGATGGTTTGGCAGTGAAGAAAAGAATCTCCATCCTTGGAGAAATTAAAAACTTGACTTGGACAAGGCCCTGAAGGACTTGGTGCAAGTGAAACTGGTTTAAGCAGGAGGTTGGACTAGGTGTCATCTGAGTAGCCTTTCCAAATGATGTAATTCTACAAAACCAATCACATATGTACTGACTACTGTGAATTCCCATTGAATTAAATGAAGGTGTGGGCAGTCTAGATTTTTAATCCCATTTTTTTGTGCAAAAATTTCAGGTTTGTGGACAAATGTGTATGTGGTTTTGTTCAGTGTTAAGCCCAAACAGCGTAGAGGTCACTGATTCCAGTCCTCTACGAGCTTTCCAGTTCTTAAGCAGGAAAAAAATCCACAGGAAAAACAGGAAAAGGGATTCATCAAAAATTGAGCTGGGTTTCTGGTTTGATGAATGCCCAGCCATCATCCATTCCTGTTACCTTCCTAAACGCTCTTAAAGAAAACTTTTATTTTCAGTGTGAAAGATAAAACTTGTAAGGAAAGTGATCAGAACAATGCCACATCTGAACATCCTGGTGTATTTCACAAGCTATTAAAAGTGAATAGCATTTCTGTCCCACAATGTATTATTAGCATTATAAATCATGTATATTGCTGGGCAGAAAATAAACAATGATTTTTCATGGTGACCAGGAATTCTGTATTTGAGGACTGTTTTTCTATAATGTAGCCTGCCAACAGCTAAGACAGAGGTAAGGCTACTCTTATGAGGCAATATACTTTAAATATTAAGGAGGTAGTACTCGTAATCTCTGTACTTTCTCAAATGTGGAGATAAAAGTACAAAGTGGGACGAACTTGGATGATTAGACAGTTTGTCAGTGTATGTACACTTATAAATGCTTCAGTGGCGATGAAGGAAGACAGTAAAACACGCGATGGTTGTTCTGTGTGAGAGCTGTCTTCGATAGATTCTGATCCAAAAGGAAATCCAAAAGTCAAATCTTTGTTGCAGTAGACCCTAGGTTCATTTTCAGGATTTTCACTAACAGTGCTGACCACCTGTCTGCATGCCACGGGTCAGAATTTTCATAAATCTCCATAATTAGTGTTTTCATTTTATTTTCAGTCAGTTAGAAATGTGGTGGAATATCTGACTATTTTGTTCACCAAAGGTCCTTTTTCCTATTTTCAGATTTCACATCAAACTTGTATTCCCAAACAGACTACCACATTTTTTGAAATGTCAATGTAGAACTCTTGCTGTTAAACACTGTGATTGCTACCAATCTATTTTTTGTGTAACTTTGAAAACAGTTTGGAAATTTCCCGGAGTTAGAATTATGGGCAAATAAAGTTTTTTCCTTCCAACGCTATGGAAGAAATCATCATTCTCATTCTGATGAATGCGTTGATATGGAGATGTCTTGATACGTATCAATGATTCAGCATCTTTTCTTAATCTTCTGTCTTCCACTGGAAACTGGAAAACCAGCAAAAGACAGAGTTATCCATATGTAGGAATCTTCCAAAGAAAAAGTAAAAATTTACAGTTTATTTAGATGATCAGTTTATCAGTTTTTTTGCTATTGTTTGTTAATAAATGGACACTGCATATTTTGTGCACAATGTAACAAACTTTTGTTAGAGGTCAGGAGGAAACAGAGACTGAATTTTTGGTTAGTTAGCAGGTATGTAAAATTAATAGATTGTAGCTTTATTTTTTTTTCTGATGTATGCTTAACTCAGATAAGTAAATGACTGGGAGATCTATCAAGATTCAGGTTTTTCCAGCATTGGATTCTTCTGATGTTTCAGCTGTCGTGACTGCTGCAGTGAAAGCTGATGTCTCGTAGACAGAGAAACACAGACAAACCCAGAATCAGAAATCCTTGTAATGCAGACCAAGTTCTAGAGGCTGGAGGCTGAGGACCCATTTGCTTGGCATAAATATTCCCAAGCTGGTGCTGACCTGAGCTGGCCCCCTGACGCCGTGCCCACGTTCTCCTGTGGAACCAGCCTGGTCCCAAAAGCAGCCAAGATTAGTGAATTTGGGTGGTGTCCCATGGACAGAGCAGTGCTATATCCGGCTTTGCCATAGGCTTTGTTAAAACAGGTGTCTTCAAAATTAAAATTAGGAATGAGGTGTGTGGGAGTGCTAGAAATACCAATTCTCCCCTTTTCCTTTCTAGAGCTGGAAAATTACATTTTTCTCTGTGTTGTTCCCTCCCACCCCCCATGCAAACAGGCGAAATCACTGCGGTCTGTATCTCTCTCTGCCTGTTTGCTGCCATTTGCAAGGTTACCCACTGGAATACACGCTATTGTAAGAAATAAACTGGCTCATCAACTTTAAAATCTTTTCCCATTTAGAAGCTGTAACAGTGCAGAAAGAGATTTTGGAGGCTTGCTCTCGCTAGGTCCACGTAGCACACCTCCAGCATCGCTGGCAAACCTGGTGGCATTGGTTCTGGGTCTCCCTCCAGTGGGCCCCACCAGTCACGTCCATTTGAGACTGGGAGCTGCATAGGGACAAGTGTTCCCTGGAGATGAGGTTAAGCCTGCCAGGCTGATTTTGTTTGTAAACTAATGCGGATTGGGACCAGCTTTTATGAAAGGAAAGGCTGCTTTGGACCACAGATGGATTTGAACTTCTGGAGGAGCAACAACTGAGCTGACAACTCCCACTTGTTTGAGAGAACAGTTTAACAACAAAGTTCTCTTTCTGTTTTACTACCAGAAATGTTAGGCACTTAAGCTCTTGATTTCGATTTTTGCATTAACCTTACTTTAAAAAGAATTCCCCTTTCAATTCACTAAGGCTAATACCTCTGTGCACAAGACAGTGTAGTCTTGCAAGGCAGCAATGCAGAAAAATAATTTAATTAGACAAAGTTGAGGCTTTTCTTCAAATAGAGCTGGAAAATATCACAGTGGCATTTGTTCATGGTCCGGGGCATCACAGTTCATTGCTAATAGGCATGGTAGAGGATTTCCTGAATGAAGCGTTTTGTTAATCAGTGCAAAGAGCA